GACTCAATTTATTATGATTTATAACGACTCCAATTGACTTGATTTACAATGATTCAAATTATAACGATTTATAATTTGAAGTAATAATTTATCATACACATTAATTACATTGACAATGGACATTTACAATTTGATACAATTGTATATATACTCAAATCACACCGATTTATACGTCGGTTGACTTTGCCTCTCCATATCTTTCTTTTCCCTGGCTTTCACGAAATCCTCTTCTACAACTGCTTCGCCAACGTTCCCTCTTTGAAAACGGCCAATCAAACGTTTCGATATCGATCGTGACGCGATCGCAAAACGATCCATATATCAACGAAGTCAACGCGCCCCGGGAGTCGTGCGTCCCGTCGAGCAAGAGGATGACTCGCCGATGGCCACCTGAAGGCGCAAAACGAGGGAGCTGCGCGACGTCTATTAGGGGGCTTAAACGGCTTCTTAAACGAAAAGAGGAATGCATCCTCGAGTGTCAGAGACGCAACAATGACGCGGGCAAACATTGACCACCCGGTGTCAAGTTGCACGTCGATGACTACGTCTCGGGACATTTGTACAACGGCACAAAGAATCGTACCGATTCTCTTTGCCACTGCATTTGCAACAAACGGGGAAACAAGAAAGCTTGAGAAAGTCTTGGTGATTTCTAGCAAGAAGTAAAAAGAAATTAGGGACTACAGTTATTTATTTCATTCGCTTGGTTCTGGTTATTCTCGAGGCGTGTTTAAGAAGCCACGAAAGTGAACAAAAGCTTGTAAATAATTTTGGTATTGGGGTATAAAGGAATATGAGAGTATTGGAGATTATTCTACTCAACAAATTTACAAGGTAAAAGAATATTTTAGGTAGAAGACAAAGGGAACGAAATGTTTTCTTTCAGAGTTTCCTTTTAGAAAATATTCGAAAGGAAAACACGTTATCTACAAGAATGTTTTGATACCCAAAATTTGGAGAAAAGTAAACACTATTGTAACAATTAGTTTTGGTCTCAAAGGAGATCCAAGGGGAATTGCACGTGAAATGTCACCATTACTCGCGAGTCGTTGAAACGGAATCAAAGGTCTTCGCACCGGGTGTGCTTCCTGTTCCTTTAGCCTTCTCTCGATAATCGTACCTCGTCCATGGGGTGTCCAGTAAAGAATACAAACTTCTCAATAGTGTTTCGAACGTTGTTGAGTAATAGCATCCACTAGAAATCAGGATCAAACGGTTTCCACGTTTCATTTCTTCGGACGATATTAAAGAGAGGTATTTTGTCCTTACATTCTGAATAATAAT